AATCGGCCATGATGGCCATTGGGGGTAGGGGAAAACTAAGCTACTTGTTGGGAGATGTGAAAGAACCAACTAAGGAGGACCAAACCTATACCAAATGGGTTCAGGAGAACTATTTGGTTATGACATGGCTGTGCAACTCTATGCAGCCACATATCAGTCGGAACTATTTGTGGGTGAAAACAGTTAAGGAAATCTGGGATTTCATGAAAGAGACCTACTCCCAACCCCTTAATGTTGCTAGGGCTTATGAACTGAAATGTGAGGTTAACAACCATAAGCAAGGAGAGAAACCAGTCTCGGTTTACTTCTCTACACTGAAATCTTTGTGGCATGAAATTGACCACCTAGAAACACTTGAGTGGGAAAGCCAGAAGGATGCACGAACTCATAGAAAGCAGGTTGAGACTAATAGGGTTTTTGAGTTCCTATTTGGTTTGAATCCAGAGTATGAAATTGTGAGACAACAACTACTGACAAGAGACAGTGTGACCCTATCACAAGCCTACTCCTTAGTGCATAATGAAGAGAATAGGAGAAATGTTATGATGCAACATCAACCCTTCCCACTAGCCTTGGCAGCAGTCAAACCTAAATCTAGGAAGTGATATGGAGAGGGATATAAAGAAGGAAGACAAGCAGGATCTAGTATGTGAACATTGCAAGAAACCCAAGCATACTAAAGACACCTGTTGGAAGCTGCATCCTCATTTAGTCCCAGCAAAACTTAGGAACAAAAGGGGTAATTCTAATATGGCTGTTAATACTAATTGTACCTCCTCATCGGGCACAAAAGGCATACCTCTAGACACCCTAGTTGCTGTCTGGGTTGCTTTGACTCAGTTGGAAAAGGAAGTTGGCAATTCAGCTCAATCATCTCAGCCGCCATCAGCTCCCACATCAGCTTTTGCTCATTCAGTGACTGGCTTGCCATCACTGTTCACTACCTATCACTTATCTTCTGGCAGAGATAAAGTGTCTAGTGCTGATGGTTCCCTTGTTCCAATTTCTGGAAAGGGAGACATCAAGTTGTCTAATGCCATCTCCTTATCTTCAGTTCTGCATGTTCCTAAGCTAAATACTAACTTGCTTTCAGTCAGTAGCATTTACAAAACATTAGAATTGTTCAGTAACCTTTTTCCCTGACCGATGTGTTTTTTAGGACTTGGAGACAAGGAAGGTGATTGAGACTGACCATGAGATGAATGAGATCTATTTTCTTGGAGAGAGTTCACATTGGGAAGATAGTGAAGATAGGAAGTCTTTTGTTTCTCAGTCTGTTAGTCAGGTTATGCTTTGGCATAATCGGTTGGGTCATTTATCTTTTCGGTCTTTGAAGAGTTTGTTTCCTGATTTATTTGAGTCTGTTCAGATGTCCAGTTTGAGATGTGAGAGTTGTGAGCTTGCAAAGCATTGTAGAACATCTTATTCATTGAGTAATAAAAGAAGTAATAATCCTTTTGATATTGTGCATACCGATGTTTGGGGTCCTTACCACATCACTGCTATGGGGGGGGGTACAGATATTTCTTGTTGTTTATTGATGACTATACCCGTTTTTCTTGGGTTTACCTTATGCGTTCTCGAGATGAGGTTCTTGCTTTGACCCAGATCTTTCATTAGATGATTTTAACCCAATTTGGGGTCAAAATTAAAATCTTCAGATCCGATAATGCGAAAGAATACTTTGCCAACCAATTAGCCTCTTATTTGCTTGACCATGGGATTATCCATCAAAGTACTTGCCCTTATACACCACAGCAGAATGGGGTTGCTGAGAGGAAGAATAGGCACATATTGGAGCTGGCCAGAATCATCATGTTTAATTCCAATGTGCCTATTCGTTTCTGGGGAGATGCTATTCTTACAACAGTGTATCTCATTAACTGAGTTCCTTCACGGGTTCTTGACATGAAGCCTCCATTTACCCTCCTATACTTTGATAAAGACTTGTTTACTGTTCCCCTTAAAACTTTTGGTTGTACTTGCTTTGTTCAGATTCTTAGACCTCATCGTTCCAAATTTGATCCTAAGGCCTCCAAATGTATTTTTCTCGGTTATGCACAAACTCAAAAGGGATATTGCTGCTATGAACCCACT